GTTAAGTTTACATAGGAACAAAGTTGGTGTTGTTCCAAATGGAAAGCTGTTTGAGAAGTTTAGCTTCTAAGTAGAGCAAATTATGAGCAATTATCAAGTAATGAAATTGACGAAACAATAAGAATGAGAATATACTCATGTGCAACATGGATATGAAGATATTGAGTTACTATTACACTAAATCCATTTTAGTCAAGAGCTTTACCAAAAGTTAGCTTTTATAGCCTTAAAGGATGCTGGTCATAAGAAGAGCAATAATATATTTCTAAATTGCATCACATTATTTTTAGGTTCTAATTAATGATAGCAAAGTATTATTAACATGTTTTTCAAGTATCAAAAATAATAGCACAAGTCATATCAGGTAGCATCTGGTAGTGGAGATAAGTCTATCCGTTTATGGGATGTTAAGACAAGATAATAAAATGCCGAATTAGATGGTCATTCATCAACAGTGTATTCAATTTGTTATTCTCCTGATGGTACAACAATAGCATCTGGCAGTGAGGATAGCTCTATCCGTTAATGGGATGTAAATATAGGATAATAAATCTTATCTTCTAATAATCGTTATAAAAACATATTAACAAAATTTTCACCCCCTACTTTTACAAACAATCTACTCCTAGAAAGTGGTATTTATTATTCATTATTCTTTAGTTACTGTTCCTATCACTATTCTTCTGATATCACAATAGCTAATATTTTAAACTTACAAAGCTCTACTTTTGAAGGGAGAATTTATTAATCAATCAGGAGACATTATTTAAACAAAAAGGAAGTTCCATTTTAGTAAGCTAAATTGAATTATAAAAAAAATGAAATTGATTATTCATAATCAATTTAAAATCCTTATCATTTTATATTATATAATGTAATTTGAACACGAAACGAGTTATTTAAAATTGGTTTGTTGTTGTGCGGTTCTTTGAATCAGTGTTTTAATTTGAAAATAGGAGTTCATGTAGAAAGTGAAGCATAACAAGCCGCCATGAGTCGTCAGTCACATGCTGATGTCTTATACTTCTTTTTCATGCTAGTAAGTATGTCAATTAAAAGCAACAAATTTTTCTTTAACTAAATTCATTCTTTCACATCCTTAAATATTCCCTTTACCTATTGCTCGTAAACAATCACATTTCATGTATATAAATACACTCTAATAGAAAATCGTTTTTTTCCAAATCATTATATTAAATATTCTTTTTACAAATATGCTAAGACACTAAAGTGCTTGCTAATACCTGTTTAGGAGAATTAGATCAATAGCTATGAGATTCATTTGAATATCTGCTATGTCCTTCTTTACCAACACAAAGCATCCAACAACACATTTTTGAACAAGCACCTAAAACTAACCCTTGCAATATAAAGATTAAGTTGAAAGGCATGATCATTCATTAAGTGAATGAAATCAACAACTAAAGAAATTAGATACATAAGGGAAGAAGTAAAATAGGATGAACAAGCTTATATGAGGAAGGATGATTTATATGAAATATTGACATAGAGAAAAATAAAATTGACTTTGATGAGATGTTGGAAAGGCTAAGGTAAGAAAAAATAACAGATTGCTTATAATATAATATATCTATCTAGTAAGCTCCATTAAGCATAATCTAAGTAGAGATTTATTCATACTCTGCTCAAAAATATAAGTGAACTTGACTTCAATATAAAGGATTACTCAATGGAAGAATTAGAATAAATTACAAAAAGGATTTGATGAAAAAGATAGGTTCGGATTAGAAAAATAAAGAGTTTTGGAAATTTAGAGTTTGCCTGACAACAATAAATGAGAGATTTATCAAATGTGAACAAACTCACTCAATTTCTTAGTCGAAGGTGGATTTAAGAGAATAAAGTTTTGAAGACATTATTTTATTAAATAGGAAGTTGCATTTTTATTTATTTATTTATTTATTTATTTATTTATTTA